CGCATAGAAGGATTTCTAGATCATACTGCATAAACTTTATTAGATTTGGAATCCCTAAAATGAATATGGAACTTGAAATTAAACTATAAGGTGGTTTAACCAGGCCCCTGGAGGGGCTTGCAGTCTCCAAAAGATCCCAAATTAGAACTTGAGCCTTTGAAGGATCATTGCCTCATCTGTTGTAGCTTTTAAAAATCTGCTGTCATAGTCTCCAAGCCAAAAACTCTGGGATTCCCGCTGCCTCAAACTATTCCTTTGTCCACTAACATTTCAGAGTTACATACATAAACTTCCAGGAAGCACTATCAGGGGGGATGACTCTTATTGCTACTAGCTTTATCTTAACCAAAAATTTTACCTTTTATCTCGTACATGGGGCAAGACTAGGCATGGTGGTTGGGGTTTCCTGTTTCCCCAGTTAGTTGGGATTTGTCGATTTGTCTTTCCTCGCAAAATATAATTATGTTTTAATAATATTAAGACTCATGTTGTGTAGTATTAAAAATAGTTATTACTATAATATTTAGTACAGTACTGAATCAACAGCAGGGTCTCACATGTACAGAGTTATAAGTATGAGTCAATTATCATATTCAGTACAATACTTGATCCTCAGTCTACGGAAAGCCAAATAAGATCCAAATATCTTTGAACATTTTTTTATTGTATTTGCTTCAATAACTCTTAAGGCCATGGGATGCCAGGTAGCAATTTATATACCTTTTTGTTTTGAACAGAATAATAATTGAATCGCACTGAATAAATGTGCATATATCTTGTCCGTACAACTAAATAAAAAAAATGTGCATTTCACGCCAATTCACAAAATCTAAGGAAAAAATGTTGCTTTTTCACCTGCAACACACGTACCAAGAATGTTTTGTCATTTGCTTGGAGCGGCACAAATGTGATAGAGCAAATTGGTGGTGGATGGTGTATGCTCGTAAAGTAGCAAGTTGATGCTTCTCTAGAAGAAATTGCAAATTAGAGTCTATACATGCATACAATTGTGTTTCCTTCTACAATTAAAATGATCATGACTTGGATGCTGTTTTGGTGTCCCATTACACAGTGAAAGTTGTTCCTTCCTTTGATGCAATTATTCTCTTAAAAGACCATATACTTGACACTTTCCGTAACAGGTTGGGTAAACAGGTTAGCCCATGCTGGTGATCCTGCTGCGGAAATAGCAGGAAACACAGCTTATCCAGTAAGATTCTCTTTCCTTCCATTAATTTACAACGCCCTTGCATCGTTTCAACCATTTACTGAACTGTCATGTAGCAGAGAACACCACTACTGCCAACGTAATTGACTCCCAAGTCGTGGACCTGAATGAAAGGAAATAACGACCGACCAAAACTAATACCAGCTTATCTTTGATGATATAACCAGATACGCGTGTCCACCTGTGGAAAATCTTTTACTGCAGCCTTGGAAATAAGGGAGCATGAGAAGACCACCACCAATCCCCACAGTTTTATATACATTTTTCATCTGATCGATTTTGGGTTTAACTTCCAAACATTGCAACATATTACAGTTATTACCAGAGAAGCGAGAATCTGTTGGTGAGGATGCAAGAAGAAACAACCAGAAGATCAAACTGAACAAATGTCTTGTGACGATACAAGCGTGGCATCCAATAAAGTTAGCTCACTGAAGTATATATGGAAAAAACATAACACGACAACGTGATCATAAGACAGACAAACCGTTAAATTTAGCGATTTAACATATGGTTGAACACGTATGTGTCTATATGTGAATCATCAGCAATTTGAAGTGATGAAACAGCCTGTGCTGCAAGGACACCAGGAGATAATCCTGCAGCATCCCAACCTTCCTCTTCAAAATATTGCCCATTGAAATCTCTTTCCCGAGGATTAGAAGAGACGATCCAGTCAGAATTCCCATGATGACTCCACATGTACCCATATCTCTGAGCATCAGAAAACCAACCTATCCCTTCTAGCGAATATTTTGACAATTCATGATCAGGAACTAGTCCCTGCCTTCCCCCCATAATGAGATCAAAGTTGCTGCAATGATCCCACGAGGTAAACCCCTCGTCCTTCTTCAGCATAACATGACGTACATGACGTGAATCCTCTGAATCTTCACCAAGCAGGACATGCATTGCAACTGCCTCAGCTATTGCGGCACCTTCTTCATCCAGCCTCTGCTGTTCTTCTTTCTTTTTCTGCTTCTTTTTCTCGAGTTCGGAACGAATTGCTGCAGAAGTGGCCAAGGCCTTCTCCAAGCGCCTCTTTTTTTTCTCAGCTTGTTTAATACGATCTAGCTCGTCCTTCACCTGCTTCTTTTTAGCTTTTCTAATATCAGTATGTACTTTTGCACACTCATTCATGTCTCGTATTTAACTTCTTTTCTTGGTTTTCTTTCTACGTTTTTTCAATTCCTAAGATGTATACATTATCAGTTTACCTATATGTTTCCTTTTTCTAAAAAAAAAAAAAAAAAAAAAAATTTTTTTTTTTTTTTTTTTCTTTTTTTAAAAAAAAAAAAAAAAAAAAAAATTTGTTATTTACTTTCTATTAGCATACTAAATTCCCAAATTGGAAACTAATATAATTTTTATAGTAATGATGCCTGTATCTACACCCACTCGGGCCTGAAGGAATACCTCATTTTACGCTCAATACATTCCCAAAAAGAAATGATAGGAGAGAGGAGCAGAGAAAAGTGGTAAGCACTCCTTGATCTGTTCCTTGCCATTCTTCCCAATATCCCATCACCCTTACTACCCATATCTAAGACACTAATTAAAAGAATAAAGCAACTACAATTAACAACAGCAACTAGTCTGTCCTTTATGGTTCAAAGGACTCCCATGGCCTTCCCTCCTGCAATCCAGATGAATACACTGAGTGAACGATTGTCAGGGATGATTGAAAAAATTAAAAAAGAAAAAAAAAAAAAAAAAAAGGTGCAATATGATCATAAGACGCTGCAATCCTATCCAATACTGTGTCCCATACACGTAATGAGTATGCAGCTGCTAATAACCAAAATAGCGTGTAGCATTTTTCCAAAAAGAAAAACCGCTAAACCACAGACAGCAGTATGGCATTAGAAACACTGTAATAACGCAACTATAGTATTGCCACAACATTTATTGCTGACACAATTACAACATCAGAAATCACAAAACTCAACCGGGAGATATTACCAAAATTATCTAATAAAACAGTAAGGGTGTGTTTGATTGGAGGTGGAATTCCATGGAAAATGGAATTGGAATTCCACCTTCCAATTTAACCTTGTTTGATACTCATTTTTTTTTATCTAGAAATGAAATTCCATCTTTGGTGCTACATAAGCCAATTTCCATTAATTCAAGGAAATGGTGGGAATTGCAATTCCCAGTTACTGTAGCATTTTTTTTATTTTTTTCGAATTTGTTTTTTTGGCAATGGAAATTTTTACGATTCCCAGGAAAACAATTTCTAGACAATTTAATTCCGTAAAATTCATTTTCTAAACAATTCAATTCCATCTTTGCAATCAAACGGACCTAAGTAAATCACTACAAATGAAATAAAACCTTAACCACCCAGCTGTAAGCAAATTTACCATCTCTCCATTAAATTCATCGAGTTTCAAGATTAAAAATGCATTAAAACGAAAAGGATTCCTAATCCTACACTTGTGCAACTCCTCAATTATATGATTTCTTTTTCCTTTTTACTCAAAAGAAGCCTCAATTTTGATTGAAAGCCCAGGTCAACTGAGTTCATAGGTCATTGATTCAGTAATAATAGTGAAGTATAATAGCTTATAATTTCACTTCAGTATGATCAAAATACATTTCCAAGCATGTAAAACTTAACCCCAAAATTCAGATCCAAAAACTTAACAGTTATCATAACCAGAAAATCAAAGCCACAGAACTATGCTTATATTCAATCACCTACCTATAGATTTAAATTAAAACCAAATCAAATTCTTAATTCATATCCCAACAAATCCATAACTTTGTATCACATAAATCCAATTGGTCCAGATGCCAAAATCTCCAATCCAAACAGAATTCAACAATATATGATATTTACCAACAGATCAAAATACACAAAACCCATATCACAAAAATATCAGCCAAAAAGAATAAAAATCGTATAAAAGAAAACGTGAAAATTAAGCAAACCTGATAGATTAAAGAAGAGAGAGGGCCGCCTTCAAAAACCTTAATTTTGTAATAAGAAACAAGTAGAAAATTAAAAAAGAGTATTATCGTTTTGATGTATAAAGAGCGTTTGGATGTGTAGAAAATCACTCAGTTTGCGTTTGTCTGCATCTGCGTCTCTATCTGTGTGTAGTATGTGTGTGAGAGAGTAGGAGATTTCAACAGAAGTCGTCAAACTTGCATATTTTTCATATTAGTCATTTAACATTAATTTATTCTAATCTGATCACTTTAATTTATATTTTTAGTTGAATTTAACTATTCCGTAGGTAACCTTACCCAAATTAAGCTCATGTTTTGTTTAGCGAAAAAAGTTGTTAAAATTTTAATTCAAAAATAATAATTAATTTTAACAATACATTTCATCGAATCCATAACTTTTATCAAATTTTCAATCATATATTTCATCAATTTTTATCAGAATTTACTAAAAATCTAATTTTTAACAAAATCAAGCAGGTTCTAAAAAATTTGAAACATGTCGACACAATTTGTGATGCAACGTATATTTCAATAATTTAGCTAGAAGGATTGTTCTAGCATATTTTCCTTTTTTTTTTTCATTTGGAAGAAGTGAATCTTCATGACGTGTAGTAGACTCGCTCCGAATTTCATCTTCAAATCACGAATTCAATGAATTTTGGCTATCGATATAGATGGAATGATTATTTTGATATAAAAGTTTAATGTTAGTGATTAAATTGAAATAGGAATAAAAACTAAGTGGTCAAATTGAAGTTGCATGACCAACGTGAGAAGGATCTAAAGTTTGATGACCTTAATGAGATTTACCTGAGAATAAAGGTCAAAGTTGGAATCCAAGACACGTGGATATTAAAGGATTGGATCTGGAACTCCTTACTTTTTCGATGGTGTAGGTTCCACGCGCCACCGTTGTACTTCACCTGTGTTCTGATGCCATTTGGAATTTAAAGGTCGAATAGATATAATTTTGATTGAAAGGTTTTGTGGGCCTACAAGAAAATTATCCTAGCCGTGGACTTGTTTGATTGTTAATTTAACGGTATAGATACGTAATAGTATAGGATTATGGATGGTCGACAGCGATAGTGAGAACAATTATGTCAACAAGATGACATCATGATCTCGTCATGGACTAAAGGGCATAGAGTTGAGGAGTTCGGGGTGCACAAGAATGTTTTAGTTGTAATTTAGGGGCTTATGTAAATTTTTTTTTTGAAATATAGAACCTATTTGGAAGTGATTTTGAGAATTGATTTTTTGACAGTTAGGAGAAAAGTGGGGTCCACCTGTGAGAGAAGAAGTCTAATATGACGGCTGGAATAGTGAAATAACGGTCAAAAAATCAATTTTTAGGTGAAAAATCGGGCCCAAACAGGCTCATAGCAAACTTTTGCTTGTTTGGAGTGCTTAAATTAGGGTTAAATCCTTCAATGGCCACTCAAATTTATATTTAATGTCATCATGGTCATCCAATTTGATTTTATTCCACCGTGACCATTCAATTTAATTTTACATCACAATGGCCACCCAATCAGGGCCGGCCTTGGGGCCAAGCCACCTAGGCAACCGCCTAGGGCCTCCAAATATGTGGCTTGGGCCCAGGGCCTCAAAACTCTTAGTAATACCACCAAGGAGCAGTCCAATAGTCCAGCAGAAACTTAGGCACTTCAGGAAATTGAACGGACATAGGAAAGAAATTGAAGGGATAGGAAGGAAATTGAATGCAAGGGACCGATTCGACCAAAAGGTAGTAAGTCATCTTCTACTCTTCTTCAATTCAGATTTCAGTCTGGACCATCTGGTGATTATTTGTTTGTTCCTTTTATTATTTGTTTATTCATTGAGGAAAAACGCGGGAGAAATAAAAGTGAAATTTTGCAGAAGGTATGCATCATTTCTATTTGTGTTTTCGAAAATGTGAACTAATTTATGAAAATCTAATCCAATGTTATTTTGATGGAATTCCCTTCTTTTTTCCCATCTTTTCTGCACTCTGATTGAAATTTGAATATACAGGTACAAAAAATCCTTAAATTGAATTTGGCTGCCTGGAGAAACACATCATGTAACGAAAATTAGAATCCTAAATTTTCTTGATATTGTGTACTTGTTCTGCAAATTGTGCAGTATGCAGACGTGTGGTTGATATTTCAGGTGACTTGAGCCTAGTATGTAATTAGAATATAAATATGAATACATTTTAACAAGAGTCTTTAAATATTTTTACCAAAGCATGATTCAGAGTTCCAATGAAGTGGAATTTGATTGCAAGTTATTCAAGCAAAGTGAGTGTATCTACAGAGTGGAGATTTGAGCTCCAAAATTTTACAGCTTGTAGTCTGTTTTGGGAGATATAAATAGTGGATATTTGGTGCGGAAATATCAATTTTCAACCAGCTCAATCTTTATCATGAGAGAGGGAGGACGAAAGGAGGGACAGCCAAAAGAATGTACTTTCAAAACTTTGTTGTATATGTTTTGTAGAAATAAATATCTTGCATCTTTGGAATTCCATGAAAAACCTGGAAGAGCAAACCCTGTGTAGGAAAATGATAAATAAATCTCCCATGAGGTATTGCTAATTCATCATGCCTTAGGTATAAATTAGTATCACAATTCATATTCTAACTCTTTTTCCACCAAGTTAGTGGTTGCAATAATGACATTTGGAGTGAGCTGTTGGATTCCTTAAGATAAAAGGTATTCCACCTAAGCTAGTTATTAGTGATCTGTTCCAGCAGTTGGTGGCATGCTTAATGGATTGCAGTATTACATAATGTTAATTGTGGAAGAATTTTGGATTTGTGGATTTCAGAATTCTGTCCAGGACAATTCAAAATTGATTTTATCGTGGAATAATATTTGTGTTTGATTTTGGAAACAAATTTCCTACATTCTGTAAAATTATAAAATTTAGTTCGAACTGTGGAAGAGGATATTATTGAATTGTGTAAAACAAATAATGTTTGTAGATATTATTGAATATTAAATCCTCTTCATTCTGGAATAATATTTGCGTTTGATTTTATTGCTCAAGTTCATCATTTATTTTGGTATTGCTCAATTCTATTTTAAATGTTATTTGATTATTTTTTGCAGGTTGATTATTGAATTCCTTCACTTAGCGATATTTGATAATCTAACATATTTTTAATTCTACTTCATCAGTCAAGTTCTAACGTTTTAATTGCTTATAATTATGTCCACTCGAAAAAACATGTTGGAAAAACTTGATTTGAGTTGTTTGATTACTAATTTTGCATCTCAAAACGTGAGAAGACTAAATATGATGTTAGCATAATCTCTCGAGTTGTAAATGATATTTTATTTTGCAATTCTATCTTTTAGATTGTACGAAATTTTCATTTGAATATAGATATATTTTTTATTTAAATATTGTTACATGTGTAAAAAAAAATGTAGGGTCTCAAAATAATTTTCGCTTAGGGCCTCCAAATTCTGAGGGCCGACAGTGCACCCAATTTCATATAAAGTTTGACCATAGCCATCCAATTTTATATAACATTTCACTATGATCACTCAACTTCTTTTCATCATTTTCACTAACTTTAATTATATAAATAAATTAATTTTTTTAAAAACATATTTTAAAAAAATATATATATTTTTAAAAAGATATAATAAAAATTTATTTTTAAAAAAAAGATACTTTAAAAAATTTAATAAAATAATAATTTATTTTAAAATTTTTTTAAATAAAATAAAAACTTATTTTAAAAAAATTACTTAGAAAAATAAAAAAATTTAAAAAAATTATTTAAAAAAATTCTTTAAAAAATTAAATAAAATAATAATTTATTTGAAAATAATAATTTTTAAAATAAAATAAAAACTTATTTTAAGAAAAGTAACTTAGAAAAATAAAATAAAAATTTATTTTTTAAAAAAGGAAAAAAATATTTTTATTTGTTTAGAATTTATTTTATATATAATGCAAAGTTACCATTTTACTCCTTTTAAAATTAGTGAAAATGATGAAAAAGAAACTTTTTAAAACGATTATTTTCATATAAATTTTTATTTTATTTCTCTTTTTAAGGAATGTTTTTAATAACTTTTTTTTCTAAGTAATTTTTAAAAAAATTAAGTTTAATTTTATTTTTAAAACTTTTTTTAAAAATAAAATTTTTTTTATATTATTTTTTAAGTAACTTTTCTTTAAAAATAAGTTTTATTTTTTTATAAGTAACTTTTTTTCTAAATAAGTTTTTATTTTATTTTTTAATTTATTTTTTATATATAAAGCAAAGTTACTATTTTACCCATTTTAAAATTAGTGAAAAGGTTAAAAAGAAGTTTGATGGCCATTATGAAATGTTATATGAAATTAGATGGTCATTGTAAAATTTTATATGAAATTGGGTGGCTATGATGACACTAAATATAAAATTGGTTGGCATGGTAAAATAAAATCAAATTGATTGGCTACGATGACACTAAGTATAAAAGTGAGTGACCATTGATGGATTTAACCCTAATTTAAGCACTTAAAATAAGCACAAAGTTTGCTATATTTTTTAAAAGTTTCTACATAAGCCCTTAAATTACAACTCAAACATTCTTTGCACCCCGAACTTGTAGACATAATTGTTCTCACTGTCATTGTCGACCATCCATAATCCTATACTATCCCCGTATCTATACCATCAAATTAACAATCAAACAAGTCGAAGGCTAGGATAACTTTCACGTAGGCCTACAAGACCTTTCAATTAAAATCACATCTATTCTACCTTTAAATTCCAAATGGCATCGGTACACTGGTGAAGGACAACCGTGGTGCGTGGACCCCACACCATCGAAAAGTAAGGAGTCCCAGATCCAATCCTTTAATATCCATGTGTTTTGGATTCCAACTTTGACCTTTATTCTCAGGGAAATCTCATTAAGATCTATAAGATACTTTTAGAAATAGTCACATAACAAATTCTATAAACTAGGCCATGAATTTTGTCAATTTTGATAACTGAAAACAAAATTGCAATTGGACGATCAAGTTGAACGAAAAATATAGGTTGTGTCATAAAATTGATCTTGGGTTTCCACCTTAAAAATACTTGTAAGTGGATTGGCAAATTGTGACTCAAAATTAATGAGAAGCCTATGTTGCAAAAATTTGAAAGGAACCATATTCATAAAATCCTTTCATAAAATCATAAATTCCATATTGAAATCAAAGAGACAACAAAAAGTGCGGAAACATACCTTGATCCATGAATCTTATCGCTTTAATTGGGTTTTGATCTTCCAATTGATACGTGATTTTCCTTCCTTTTGATTTTCTTGAAAAGTCTCTGTTGATGGGGATGCAGAGATATCATCAAAAGAAAATCACGTTCAAATTGGAGACCATAACCACTTTTAAAATAACTGCTATTGGCAGTTATTAACTTTAAGTTATTTCAAATCGGCCCCTCATCAATTCAAAATAACACCTTCTGGTCTCTACACTTTAATCCCATAAAATTTAATACCCAATAGTCCAAAATTAAATCCAATGGATCACTTTATCGACTATATTTACTTTAAAATAGCACCACACATTCTAATAAATGTACATGTGTGGCCCCAAAGTTGGAATTTTTTCCAACAATCTCCCACTGGGCCAAACATGTTACATTATAAATGTGCACAGACTTATGAGCTCAAAATTGTGCTATAGTTATTAAAGGTATTTCCAAACAATCTCGTCCATTAGTTACATCGATGTAGGATCAAAGCGATTTTCGTCACATTTAGCGTGACTAAATCCATCAATGGTCACGTACACCCATACAACCAAATGACATAGATCAATTATGGGAGTGTAGCATGGAAATTACATGTTATGTGATCCGAACATGTCTATTTCCAACTGGTCCAACCTTATTTCTTAAGTGAGATCAGTACTGAACATAATAACAGAGTGGAATGAACTGAATACTTTATTTCTGTACAGAAAATATCCAAATACATAAATGTGTTCAAAGAACTAAACA